TCTTGGTTTTTACTGATTATACTTGTTGTCATTCCTTTGTTTTCAAAGAAGACCAATGACATCATGGGGTGATATCTTGACTTGTGGCTGAATTGGATTTAAGTGAGGCAGAGTGGCATAAAGTCATCAGCTTTACTCTTTCTTCCTGAGTCAGCAAAGTCTAGTGGTAAGACAAAAATCAAGATTACTGGCAATGGCTTGGAATACAGTAGATGACCTTGGCATCTTTGATGTCTGATCAAGCTCTAGATGCTCCACAGTGCCTGCTTCAGCTGCTTTCATGGCCATTGGAACAAATTGTTCTCATCCACCCATTCTGACAAGGGGAAGTCTTCCCATGCTTGGGGTAGACATTCCCCTAATTCATCAATGGTTTTGAGACCTGTTAAGTTAGCCTCAACTTGGTTTATCCCATTTAATTAATTATAGTAATTAAGAACAGGAGATACAAGGAAAGAAGCTTTTGACTAAGGTCAAAAAGAAAATCTGGAAGGCTCTGGACACATTAATCCTAAAGACCCAGGAATTGAGGAAAAATATCTTGGAGGGGCTTTTAACATAAAACTAAGTGAAATGAGTTGATACTCTGTTTTGGAGTCTAAGTACATGAGAAAAATAGCGGTAGAGCTAGAAATAATAGTTAAAAATTAATTCAGTTATAGCCACAGGACTTTGTTTTTAGTCATTTACTCAAGTAAAAATGAATAGGCTGGACTATAGAACATTTAATGTCTTTACAACTGAAGGGGTGATTTTCGTTTTTATTAGTCAGATTTGAATACAGAGAACTCACTGTGAGGAAATGATCCTCTACTGATGAAACCAAAACTTGTTCTGCACCCTATGGTCTTAGACAATTTCCTGGGGCCACTGAGAGGTTAAGAGATTTATTTGCCAAGTGATGATGATGACGATGATGATGATGATGATGATGATGATAACACTCACATACAAACACAATTTAAGGCTTGCAAAATGCTTTACTCATTTGATCCTCATAATAACCCTGTGAAGTAGGTGCTGTTATCATCTCCCATTTTATGGCTGCCAAACTGAGGCACAGAGAGGTTAAATGACTTGCTGGAGGTCACACAACTAATGTCTGTGGCAGAATGTGAACTCAGGCCTTTCTGACTCCAACTGCCACGCTATAGCCATTGTATCACCTCCCTGCCTCAATATGTGTCGGAGGTGAACTTAGACCCAGGTATTTCAAAGGAAACTTATTGATCCTCTACCTCACTGTGGTTCTCATTTAAATAGCTACCTAAATTTGAGATACAAGGTAAAAACTAATCATTTAATATGTTAAACATGAATTCAAATTTTCAGGTAAGTAATGATTGGTGTGGATCGATACTAGGAAGACAAGGTAACTGACCTGTTTCTTATCACCCCAAGCACTAACATTTGCATGGAAATGATTAGCTTTGGGCAAATCCAAGAATTAGATCAGTGATTCAGGTGAGGTGTTTCATAGGAAAGTGTTAAAATTCCTAGTGTGCATTTAATATCCAAGATATTATAATAAAGAAAGAGATCACTAAGGTAATAAGCTTTATAATTTCTTCTCTGATAATGTAGCAACAAGTTCTTCCCACATCCCCTGAACGGCTATAGACTCTCCCACTTTCTAGTCTTTTTCTAACAGCTACTTGAGAAGTGGATTTATGTGGAAATTTGACAGTACAAGATAAAATGATATTAGAAATATCATCCAGTCATGATTTTTTTTCTTTTGCTACCTGCCCAGTTATTAAGCAATAGAGTGTTATCCTTGAACACTGAAAGGCCCAATTAGAGTTTTTTCCATGATGTATATTGAAGAAAAAGGCTCAAGGGCTTATCTATTATTGTTTCCCAGTAGTTTAGAGGCTCACACTCCCTTAGATTTATGATATCTGAAGCACCACAGAGATAATGAGGGAAATAACACTGGGCTTGATTTGTTAAATATATTAGCATCTTGGGGTTCTTTCTGAATAAAAGACCCAGGAGTAGAAACTGAAATATTGAAACAAATGCTGTATATAGTTAAAAACACATCAGTTAGATACATTTCAAAGATGAGCAAGTAATTTTTAAATGACTCCCAACTGAATTTTTGGTTTTGGCACAAATTAATTATTGTAATTTATAACAACAATGATAATAACTCATTATAAAGTGTCTTTGGTCGGAGCAGTTTGGAAATAAAATATTTATTAATCCATTTTTCCTTTCTTTTTTTATTAGTCTATCTTTCCATAATGAACCTCTGTAAGGCCAAGTATGGGGAAACTCAGGAAGGCTGAATGATTTGGCCATAGTTACACCTTTAAAAGAAGATTTAGCACTAAAACATTTTCAATGTTTTATTTCCTTATTCAATTTCCTTATTCATTTATAATTTTTAATTACTATAAAGCTTCAACTTGGTGCTTGATACTGACTGGAAATTTTTAAAATTTATCTCTTATATGCTTCCTGGATCATTCCCCCAGTGGCCATTTCTTATATTCTCTTTTCTCAAGCTGCCAATCTCCTTGACAATCATCTAATTCCTTTTTCTCTCTGTCACAAACTAGTTAAAAAACTTTCCTTGCTGCCCCCAGCTCAGAGCCCTTGATAATCACAGTCCCTCCCACAATCAGAAGAAAATGCTCTCTGAGTCATAAATGTCCAGAATTCAGTCAAGTTTTAGATCTTTTCCTTATCCACAGGAAATCCATTTCAATATATGGTTATGTTCATTGAAATGATGATTTCTCATGGCTTCATACCAATCTGTGGTGTGAATTCCCAAATCCACATCTCCAGCCCAATTTCTCACTTGTATGTCAGTTCCATGTTTCTGTCTGGTTGTATTGTCATCATTTTAAATGTTACATGCACAGATTCCACACAACAACAAACACAATAGTAACCACCTTCTCTTCACAAATATAAGATTTGGGCAGAGTGATTAGATAGGTGGTTGTTTCAAAAAGATTTGGGAGTTTACTGATCTACAAATTTAATATGAAATAGCAGTGTGATTTGACAGCCTAAATAGGTAATATGGTCTTTTGCTCAATTCAGAGAGATGAGCTTCCAGGAAAAAGAAGGTAAGGGACCTTCTGTATTCTGCCTTAGTCAGATCACAACTGCCTGCAGTTTAGGGAGCATGTTGATAAGGTGGACAGGATCTGGAAGAGATAACCAGTATGGTGAAAGAGCTGGAATCCAGGTCTTAGGAGGGTCAGTAGAACGAACTGTGGATGTTCATCTTGAATAAGAGAAAACTGAGGGAGTATATAATAACTGCACATGGACAAAGGATTATATTCATTCTGTTTGCCCTCAGAGGATGGAAGAAGGAGAAATGAGTGAAACTTCACTCATTCAAGTAAAGAGAAAATTTTATCACTGAAGTCAGGAAAAAAAAACTTTCTAAGATTTAGTTATTGAAAAGTTTAATGGGCTGCCTTGAGAAGAAGTAGGATCTCCCTCAGCAGAGGTCTTCAGTCAGAGGGTGGATGACTTCTTGTCCAGTGTATTATAGTGAGGATTCCTTATAGTTAGTGTGTGTGTGTGTGTGTGTGTATAATATGTGTGTATGCATATATATATATATATAATGTATATGTATATGTATATGTATATATGTGTGTATATATAGTGTGTGTATTTATATATATATATACATATATATACATATATATATATATATATATTTAATTTTAAGGTTTGCAAAGCACTTTACATACATAATGTCATTTGATGGCAAACTCTAAAATTCTGTGATTTCTGAGGTCGTTTGCCATTTTGTATATCTATGTATGGCCTGTCTTTGGAATTGAATTTAGTATTTCTGATGTTATTCTTCATCTTCCTGTTGGTGACAGATATAAAAAGGATGGAAACAAAAGAGTGCAGAAGGTGAACCAGGAAGGAGGCAAGATCTTTCAAGAATCTTTAGTGAACAAACATGTTGGCAATGATTTGATTTCAGTTTTTGATATCTTTAAATTAGAGAAGAAAATACGGAAGACACTATAGCTTTGAGGAAGCTTTGGCCTAGAGTTGCTTGGTAATAGAAAGAGGCATAAAATAACATATCTGAGTTCTTTCCAGGGTTATCATTTTGTTAGAAAAATATAATCTCAGAAAACGATCCTTTCAGAAGCTTCCTTAGAGGAACTCATTAATAATTCAAAATCTTTGTTCTAGATTTTTGCAGAAGTTATTCTGTATACAGCTTGATTGTACATAATTGCTAGCATATTGTTTCACCCATTAGACTGTGAGTTCCTTGAAAGCATGGATTATCTTTTATCTATCTCTGTATCCGTAGTGCTTACAAGAGTGCCTGAAACATAGTAGGTGTTTAATAAATGGTTATGGACTGATTGAACATACACCCCTGCCTATGACCAATGTCAGCTTATAATGCTTACCAAGAAAACCTAAAAGTCCAGTTCCTTTCCTGTGCAACATTAAGATGCAAAATTTCCTAGCTTCACACAAATTCTCACAAACGTTCTCTCACTTAACTTTTCTTTAAAATTCTTTTTGTTCATAAATATTTTAAGAATAGGTAACCATTCTTCCCAGATGGCATTTTTTTAAACAAAAAAAGATGCTAAAAATGCAGAGAAGATATTGAAGAGACTTATCTACTCAATGGTATTCTAACAGAAAATAACAACTCTGCTCCATTTATGTGCCCCCTCCTGTTCATGTGAATGTGAGCTATTACCATAAGTTTAAGTTGTTAGGATAAAGTCACATTTGTATGGTGTCTTCTCCTTTTGTCATTTAGTAGGTCAGAAAAACCACTGCTTTAATAAGTTTTTGTTCATGTACTTTCAGAACATGCCTCAGGAAAAGAATGTGTCTCTGTGAAAACCACTCACAGGTGGAACTTTCAATGAAAATGAAATGCTTTTCTTACTAAGCAAATAAAAAATGTAATCGAGGCTGGATAGCTTCTTTCCCTTCTCTGTCCGTTCCTTACTTGGACCAAATCCAAATCTTACCTTTGTGAAAAGACATCCCGGTATGGACTGCCATGCTGGAGTGCAATTCCGTACCCTCTATCTGCAACGGTATTCCCAACAGTATAAAAGGAACAATCTGGGTCATTGATAGCCACGTATTCCAGGACAGCTGCATCCCATACAAAAGCATAATTTCCATATTTCACCTGTAGTGAACAAAGGACAGGGAAGAACAGGGAAGAAGTTTTAATTCATAGTATTATAAAATTTAAATAGAGACCATTTACTCATTCAACAAGCATTTAAGTGCCTTTTTGTGCCAGGCAATGAATTAACAGAGGATATGGAGCCAAAAATAAAACAATCCCTGCACTCAAGGGGGTTATGTTCCACGAAAGGAAATAAATGTACACAGAATATAAATTCTTTGACAGAAGGGACTATTTTCCTTCTGTATTTGTATTCCCAGAAGTAAGAAGGAGTCATCAAGTTTATTGAGCAGAGGAGTGACCTGGTCAGATAAATGTTTTAGGAATATCACTTTGGCATCTGTGTGCAAGACAGACTGTAAAGGAGAGAGAAAAATATAGAGGCATATTTAATCACAAAAAGCAGTGAAAAATAAATGCAGGCAATTAAGAGGAATAAACTAGTTATTCAGTCCATTTTGCCTCCATCTTGGGAGGTTTATTTCACTGTCAGGCAAAGTTTCTTAGAGTAGATAGTACTTGAGTTTTAAGGGATACAGAGGAATTCAGTGGGGGCAAGGAACCCTTTAAGGCACAGGTACTGATATGACCTTCAAGTCACAGGGAACCTTGGGGCTGAGAAATTTCAGAGTTCAGGGTTTGTACTGAAGATGAGAGGAAATCCAGTTTAGTTGTAGTGTAGTGTACATGAAGGTAATAATAACAGGAAGAAGTAATTAAAAGTGCCAGCTTTTGTAGACAGGTCACAGTGGATGGTGACAGAAAATGCATTTGGATTTGCTAATTAGGAGGTTGTTGTTGAATCTAGAGGGAGAAATTTCATTAAAATAGTGGGAGCCAGAGCCCTGTTGCAAATTATTGAAGAGTAAGTGTAAGGATGTAGTCATCAGGTTTAGATGAATTTCAAATAAAATTTAGTTTTAAAGAGGGGAAAGATAAGACAATAATGAGAGAGGAACATGTAGGGAAGATTTTTTTATTTTAGAATTGGGGAGAATGGAGCATATTGTTCAGTGAATAGGATGGAGCAGTAATAAGAAAGAGACTTAAATTGCCTGAGAGAGGAGGACTGGATTAAGGATTTGAAAGTGGGGGAAGGAGAAATGGGATCAATACCAAAAAGGAGATTAACCTCATCAAGGAAGAGTGATACCTTTTTCTGACACAGTAGAAAAGGATAAAATGAGTGCTGCTGCTGAATGCTTTTGAAGGGTGGAGGAGGAGAGTTGAAGTAGTTCCTTCTGGATTACCTTAAGCCTCTCAGTGACTTATGGGGCTAAATAACTTTTAACTGTTAGAGTGTTGTTGGGGGCCTTGAAGATAGAAGAAAAGGTTAGGAACAGTTACTGGAGGGATGACATATAAAGTTAATAAGAGTCAAGTAGAAAGATTACTTAGTACCAGAGAGGTCATTGCTAAGACAACATAGCTAAAATTTATACTAGGTGAAATCATCTCAATTTTGTGACTCTCTTTAGTCAATCTTATAAGTTTAAGAACAGAAATGGACAGATTGTTTGAAAGAGTTATTTAAGATTGATGATTAATAGGTTGGAAAATGGCGTAAAGTCTGTATTTGGGGAGGGTGTGAGGACTCTAGGGTGGTAACTTTAAAGTGGATTCATTGGGTCAAAGTTGTTTCCAGAGAAATGAAGAGTGAGAAGATGGATGAAAATCACTATCCAAACTAGGAGTGGGGAACCTACAGCTCCGAGGTCACATGTGGCCCACCAGGTCTTCAAGTGTGGCTTTTTGATTGAATCCAAATTTTATAGAACAAATCCTTTTATTTCTTATTAATACATTTTGTTCATATTTTATATTTTTATCTTATTTTTTAAAGGAACATATTTTAAATACCAAAGAATAAAATAAATTTCAACAAAATAATCCTCCCAGATTGACTGGCACAATTAGAATATTAGTAAGCCTTAAGGGCTAAATTGATGGCTGCTATGCTCATTATTTAGCTCTAATTTTCCCTGCCTGACTGGTACTACTACTACATGAGGCTGGTTGGCGAGAGTTTATGGAGGTCTGGTGTGCCAGTCTGTTATCAGCTTTTGACAACAGTACACTGTGTTTGTTTGAAATGGAATTTGTGAATAGTTACATGGCTCAACAGCATTTTTTAATTCTTTCTGCATCATGTTAAAGAAGACCTAGAGATTGCTGAAGGAAGAAAAGATTTTTTTTTCAATGAGGATTGGGAATTGCAAGTTTAGCTTGTTTCTGCTGAGGATAAGATGATTTACTTGCTTTGTGATACTGCAATATCAACATTAAAGAAATTCGATGCTCATCAGCATTATAACACTCATAAGGACCACAAATATTTTAAATTAGAGGGAGAGCCATGAAAGGTTGTATTACAAAAAGTAAAAGATGAAAAGCAAAAGCAAAGACAATTTTTTCAAGCAACAGTAAGTCCTGGAAATAATGCCCCTGAAGCAACTGATAAAGTAGCTTATATATTTGGGAAAAAAGGGAAGACATTCAGTGTTGTAGAAATTGTGAAAGAATGCATTGTTGAAGTTGTAGGATGCTTAGATCCCAATAATGTTTCAAAGTACAAATAACTGCCACTGTCAAGGAGAACCATAACTGATCAGCAGGATGAATTAGCCTTCAGCTTAACAGAATAACTTCATGTAAAACTTCAAAAGGAAAATATATATTATTCAATCACTTTCAACTGATGCTACTGACTTTGTTCAGATTTTATACTTCATTGGGGTCATAACAGAAGATTTTCTTTGCTATGAAGAGTTATTGCTTTGGGCTGTTTTGTGAACAGAACATGGGGAATAGACATCTTCAACAACTTTCAAGATCAATGTCATGAAGTTGGACTGAATTTGGTAAATTTAATGAGTGTATGTATAGACAGTGTACCTTTCATGACAGGAAAACATGAAGGGTTTATTAAACAGATTTTAAAAAAAGTATTACAGATCCAGACGCTCTCATTTCTTTTCATCGTATTTTGCATCAGCAAATTCTCTGTGCTAAAGCTATTATTTTAAGTGACACTTTGCAATAAGTTATAAGTCTTGTTAACTATATTTGTGCAAATGCAACATGGTCAGTTTTGTAACATGCTAAAATTGAATGATGAGGTATTAAATGTGAATTTCCCCTATCATTCTAAAGTGCATTGGCTATCACAGGGACAGGTGTTAGCCAAAACTTTATCTCTGTGAGAACAGATAGTTAAATTTTAAGAAAAATGATCAACAATATGAATTATTGAAAGATTTCTATAGGAATGTAACATTTCTGTGTGATATCATGTCAAATCAAAATGACTTGAATATTTGTTTGCAAGGTAAAACTAAGTTTATATATAATATGTGGCAAAAAATCCAAACATTTTGAAAAAAGCTATCTTTTTTCAAAACACTTTTTCAAAAGGAAATTTTGGGTGAACATTTTCCCCAGTTAGCAAAGGTCACTGATGAGCAAGATGGTATATGTGATTCATTTGAAGAATATTCAGCTGTTATAGACCTATTAATTGGAGAATATAATGAAAGATTCATTGACTTTGAGAATCATGACATCACACTCAAATTAGCATTTCAGCCTCACCTAGTTGATATCACCAAGGCACCTAAATAACTACAGTTGGAGTTGATTGAGCTCTCAGTAGATGACATTTTAAAGTTATTGTTTATTGCTAAGAAAGATCAATTGAAATATGGAAAAATGCAGTAGAATACCCACACTTTTGGCAACATGCCCTGAAAAATGCTTTCTTGCTTTTCAACTACTTATTGCTGTGAATTTACATTCCCGTTACTAACCCAAATCCAGACTCTCTTAAGGTCACATATGACTGACACCCATCTAGAGGATTAACTGAAACTTTGGCCCTTCATGTTGCAACCAAATATTCACATGCTTTCCAACAAAAGCAGACTTAACAGTCATTAGAAGGTTGTTATCTTTGAAATCAACAAATAATTTCATTCTTTGAAATTAATAAGTACATTGTAGTTAGATTTTTTACAAAATAATGTATATTTTAATTATATCTAATTGAAGTTTCTTCAGTGTGGCCTTATTTGATTACAGCTAAATATTAATGTGGCCTTCCAACATGAAAAGGTTCCCCACTCCAATCTAAGACAATTCCAAAGATTCATGATGGTTGCTATCCACATCCAGAGAAACAACAATTGAGTCTTAATGCAGATCAAAGCATACTATTTTCACTTGCAAAAAATTTTTCTTTCTTGTGGTTTTTTTCCCTTTTGTTCTGATTCTTCTTTCACAAAATGACTAATGTGGAAATATGTTTAATATGATTATACATGTATAACCTATATCAGATTGCTTTCTGCCTTGTGGAGGGAGAGAGAAAAAAACTGGAATTCAAAATCTTATAAAAGTTAATGTTGAAAACCATCTTTACATGTAATTTGAAAAAATAAAATACTATTATGTGGGGAAAAAAAGATGAGTATCCAAGAGAGAGGTAGTTGAGATGGGGATGAAGAACATAAACATAGATATAGTTGGAGGTAGGGCTGGGAAAGGTAGAAGGATGGAGGTTGTGATTAGAGACTAGAAATCTGAAATTCAGGATTTCAGGGATGGTGCAATTCTATGATGTAAAGAGGGCAAAGAAACAATCATGCTTATGGTTTGCAAAAGTTGGATTGATGAAATTGAGGGGAGTTAGCAATTGTGTGGAGATAAGATACACACACACACACACACACACACACACAACTATAATAGAAACTGTTATGTGGCAAATGCCAAAAGGGAGGTACAAAAGCACAGAGTGATCAGTGGCATGATGTTATTAGATTATTTATCTAAATAATGTATTTTGGCAGTGTTTTCTTATATGGCCTATTTGCCAGAATTATTGGAGCATATTTCAGATTTCCTACGTTTGAGACATATTGCAAGGAATGTCTGCTTGATTGAGGTTTATTCGTTCAAGCCTTAGTGATTTTAACTATAAGGTGATCTAGGATAGGGGG